TTGTGTGTGTGTGTTGTGGTGTGTGTGTTTGTGTTTTGTGTTTGTGTGTGTGTGTGTGTGTGTAGGAGATGCAGCAGTGGGGAAAAGTGCCCTTTCTCATATGTTCCACAGTGATGGTACTCTCTTCTGGCAAAAAGAACTACAGCATGGTGAGGCTTACAACATATCAATAAAAGATCCCTGGTTTGTTCCCCATGCAAGGGCCTGCAGTTCCAAGTACACTGTTTTGTATGTGGAACAGCTAGAGCACCACAGTCCCACTCCTTGTAATAATAAGGAATATACTGTTTATATTCACATACACATCATAACAGAGGAATTGGGTTGTAAAAACAGCTGGTTGAGGGATTTAGGGATTGGGCTGTGCTCTGTTGCACAGACATAGCACAGGCTTATAGTTTTACATTCAGGTAGGGTAACTGATGTTTTCACAACTTAGTATGAAGGAGCAACTCATGAAGTTGAATTCTGGATCATTGCCAGCCGAGAATAGACAGCAGTATGTTTGGGAATACTCTGATCCATGTACTATGAAGTGCTGCAGTATTTATCCAGTATTCAGCTGTTTCAGCCCTGCCTGAGATTACAGATTCAAAGTTAATCAGAAAATATGCTGGTTTAGTCTGCATGCTTTTACCCAGTCGGTATTCATTTCATTTACAGGAGACACCCCCAAAGTGCCTCAGACCCTGTAGAGATCTTCGCAGCTCCATTACATGTTTATAGATATAGAACAGCGCAGTTAAGAGTAATAAAGTAGTTGTGGAGCAAGGTTGCATAGTTAATCATTTATAGTCACATATTTGAAATGCACTGAATCAATAATATAATAATATAATCTAATTTTGTTTAAGGTGTTTGCCTGAGGTCAAGACTTTTACTTAACCCAAGATGTAATTTGTCATCGGCTGTAAATCACAAAGACTTATGATCATATTGCATACTGTATGTAGTTTTTTTTAGTGGAACTCTTTGTAAGCTTTTCAAGGACCTCCAGAGGTCTCTTAAATCTACAACAGGAATCACTGAAGTGCAAGACAGCATAATGTACCATTAATGCTGATGCAGAGTAGGCTAATCTACATTATTTATGCTAATCTGCATGAGGGAAGGAACCGTGTCATTAAACTCACTCTGTGATATATGGGGTCATGGCTGCTCACTGATTCCCTCTGTCAATGTTTCAAGGGCTGCAGACTAAATGCATTGCACTGACATGCAAGTGAATGGCATTCACTCCTGAGAAATCAATATATGCACTTGACCAGCTTGCACACATTCATTTGTTTGTTACATTTACTGAGTTTTACTGTTAAGCCTTGCAAATGGTAAGGGTACAGAAGAACAGGTTTGGTGAGTAAAATAACTGGACAAAAGCCAAGTTTGTGTGTGGTGTGTGTTGTGTGTGTGTGTGTGTTGTGTGTGTGTGTGTGTTGGTGTGTGTGTGTGTGTGTGGTGTGTGTGTGTGTGTGTGTATGTTGTGTGTGTTGTGTTTGTTCAGCTTCTCGGCTGTGTCAGCAGTATTGGGGGTTCTGAGGTGACAGGAACGTCGATAATTAATACAGCAGGATTCTGGAAAGCCACCAGAACAGGTACTTAACAAGCGCACAACAAAGTGCTCAGTTTCTTCCATACTGCCTAAAACCTAAAACCTGTACCCACTTTGCCCGCTTGTTTTGTGATGCTGTGCATGTCTGTTCATGTTGGACTAGTGGAGTATTAGCAAAGTAGAAAGGCGCTGCAATAGTGCTTGCATTTCTAATTTTGCACTGGCTTAGTATATGTGCTTTCTGAAGTCAAGCCAAGCCTTAACACATCTGTATTACTACATACAAAGAACATGAAAACACACAGTATGACACTGTGTAATAAAAAAAAAAAAAAATAGAAAGATGAATGCAATTTAAAAAATGGGAAAATGACATGGTCACATAGTCAAGACATGTCACATTGAAAGTAAGTGGGGAGAGATGCCAGGTTGGCATGTGCACCTGGTAGATCAAGGCCCTGTGTCCCCACACAGCTTTATTAACTGGATGCACCGAGAAGAAATGCCCATGGGACACAGATTATGAAGTTATCCCTGTCTGTTTCTATCCCTCTGTGTGTGTGTGTTGTGTGTGTGTGTGTGTGTGTAGGAGATGCAGCAGTGGGGAAAAGTGCCCTTTCTCATATGTTCCACAGTGATGGTACTCTCTTCCAGAAGAACTACAGCATGGTGAGGCTTACACATATCAATAAAAGATCCCTGGTTTGTTCCCCATGCAAGGGCCTGCAGTTCCAAGTACACTGTTTTGTATGTGGAACAGCTAGAGCACCACAGTCCCACTCCTTGTAATAATAAGGATATACTGTTTATATTCACATCACACAATCATAACAGAGGAATTGGGTTGTAAAACAGCTGGTTGAGGGATTTAGGGATTGGGCTGTGCTCTGTTGCACAGACTAGCCACAGGCTTATAGTTTTACATTCAGGTAGGGTAACTGATGTTTTCAACTTAGTATGAAGGAGCAACTCATGAAGTTGAATTCTGGATCATTGCCAGCCCAGAATAGACAGCAGTATGTTGGGAATACTCTGATCCATGTACTATGAAGTGCTGCAGTATTTATCCAGTATTCAGCTGTTCAGCCCTGCCTGAGATTACAGAATCAAGTTAATCAGAAAAATATGCTGGTTTAGTCTGCATGCTTTTACCCAGTCGGTATTCAGAATTTCATTTACAGGAGACACCCCCAAGTGCTCAGACCTGTAGAGATCTTCGCAGCTCCATACATGTTTATAGATATAGACAGCGCAGTTAAGCAGTAATAAAGTAGTTGTGGAGCAAGGTTGCATAGTTAATCATTTATAGTCACATATTTGAAATGCACTGAATCAATAATATAATAATATAATCTAATTTTGTTTAAGGTGTTTGCCTGAGGTCAAGACTTTTACTTTACCCAAGATGTAATTATGCATCGGCTGTAAATCATCAAGACTTATGATCATATTGCATACTGTATGTATTTTCTTTAGTGGAACTCTTTGTAAGCTTTTCAAGGACCTCCAGAGGTCTCTTAAATCTACCACAGGAATCACTGAAGTGCAAGACAGCATAATGTACCAATTAATGCTGATGCAGAGTAGGCTAATCTACATTATTTATGCTAATCTGCATGAGGGAAGGAACCGTGTCATTAACCTCACTCTGTGATATATGGGGTCATGGCTGCTCACTGATTCCCTCTGTCAATGTTTCAAGGGCTGCAGACTAAATGCATGCACTGCACATGCAAGTGAATGCATTCACTCCTGAGAATCAATATATGCACTTGACCAGCTTGCACACATTCATTTGTTTGTTACATTTACTGAGTTTACTGTTAAGCCTTGCAAATGGTAAGGGTACAGAAGAACAGGTTGGTGAGTAAAATACTGGACAAAAGCCAAGTGTGTGTGTGTGTGTGTGTGTGTGTGTGTGTGTGTGTGTGTGTGTGTGTGGGTGTGTGTGTGTGTGTGTATGTGTGTGTGTGTGTTTGTTCAGCTCTCGCTGTGTCAGCAGTATTGGGGGTTCTGAGGTGACAGGAACGTCGATAATTAATACAGCAGGATTCTGGAAAGCCACCAGAACAGGTACTTAACAAGCGCACAACAACAGTGCTCAGTTCTTCCATACTGCCTAAACCTAAACCTGTACCCACTTTGCCCGCTTGTTTGTGATGCTGTGCATGTCTGTTCATGTTGGACTAGTGGAGTATTAGCAAAGTAGAAAGGCGCTGCAATAGTGCTGCATTTCTAATTTGCACTGGCTTAGTATATGTGCTTTCTGAAGTCAAGCCAAGCCTTAACACATCTGTATTACTACATACAAAGAACATGAACAACACACAGTATGACACTGTGTATTAAAAAAAAAAAAAAAAATAGAAAGATGAATGCAATTTAAAAATGGGAAAATGACATGGTCACATAGTCAAAGACATGTCACATTGAAAGTAAGTGGGGAGAGATGCAGGTTGGCATGTGCACCTGTAGATCAAGGCCCTGTGTCCACCACACAGCTTTATTAACTGGATGCACCGAGAGAAATGCCCATGGGAAAGTGCTGGTCACGGACTCTGCTGTTGCTATGCAACTGTTAAAACACCTATTTGAAGCCAGTTGCTTGCTTTATATTAGTTGAAATATTTTTAACTTACTGTTCACTTGACACCAAGTGCTTCATTTAAGAGGAGTTCCACTTTTAAAAACTCTGAAGCTGTGCACTGTAAATTTTTGATCCAGAAGTTACTATGTATATTATGTGTCATTATTTAGATCAGTTTACATAACAGTAGTGATAGTAGCAGTAGCAAAAAGCAAGAAAGTCATGTTTTTTTCCAGTTGAGAACAGTTATTTTTAGTGTAAAAGTGCAACCTTAGAAACATGCAGAAAGCTCTACAAATGCCTCAGCAACTACTTGACAGATTCACATTGAAGTTTAGTATGGACATGTATAGTCCTGAAAGGAGGGTGAACCCTTTCCATGTTGAACCCTCCATGAGGTTTCATCTGGTGCCATCCTCAGGCTAAAATGTAAAAATGTAATGGTAATCCACAGATTACCATTAAATTTGTTGAGCACATTCATTCATTCATTCATTCATTCAAAAGAGGCAAACTCTTTTGGTTTTGAGTCACATGCCTTTAGGACAAGCTTTGATTAGGCTCTAGGAACAGCAAAATTGTCTTTATGTTGTTTATACCAATTCTGCACCACTATGAACACATCACATTACACTCATGACTGCAAGGTGCAGTGCTGGTAGCAGTTTTAAGCAGCATTAAATGTATCAGGTTGGATTTTCTCTGTAAGATTTCACTGCAGATGGAAACAGGGAACAACGTGTCCTTACCATTGTGACTAATGTGAAACAGAAACTAGTGGTGTGCAGAGTTACTCCTTGTGTAGACACCTAAGTCATCCCTGATGTTCTTCAACTTTTGATTTTGAAGGGTAGCCGAGGCTGTCGGCCATTCTGCTCACGTCCCCCTTTGAAAATGTCAGACGGCCCGTTAGCAATATTCCAAGCTTATTTGTTACTAATAGGCCCTCATTGACATTCCAGCGAGAGGCTTCCTATGCATCACACCAGCTCATTAGACCGCTCCGAAGTGGGACCGCCGCAGCATCTGTGTGTGTGTGTGTGTGTGTGTGTGTGTGTGTGTGTGTGTGTGTGTGTGAGTGTGTGTGTATAGCACTGGATTCTTGTTATGAACTGTTTCTGTGTAAGAAACCGGTAAATGTTGGTCTGAAGTGTGTGTGTGTGTATGTGTGCATTTGTAATTCACAGAGGCACTGAGTGTGAAAAGTATGTGTGTGTTTTCAGGGTTTTAGTCTCTGGCATTTGACACGCTCGGTTAAGTGTGAGCGCAGGAGATCAGATCAATTTAGAGTTTGGTGCTGATGTGAAGAAACCTCGACTTGCTTCTTCAAGGTCACCACTGATCTCATACCACCGGATGCATAGTGGCAAAAGGCAGCCGGCAACCATCCCGTCCACTTAGGACCGCTTTAGATCTCGCTGCTTGTGAAGAAGGTGCATCTGTGACAAGACCAGATTCATTATATCCTCCTTACACTCTCCTGCCTGCATTCTATCTCCTCTATTTGTCCTTTATTAATTCCTAAAAAATCTCAACTACTTGCTGTTTGCCTGCGACTTCTTTATTTTCTTTTATATCAAGACACAAATCTGCCATCTTCACTATACAACATAAAAAAAAAAAACAAGAACAGCATCTCTGGTCATTTTAATCACCCACAGGAGACTACAGCTGCTTGTGTGGATGACATTCAACATATGAGAAAGTCTTCTACTAAAGGGGCTGCAATCAATATTTTTTATATAAACAACTGATCACATGATTACTTGCATGTGAAAGGGGTTGCTTGTAGTGTCAAATCCACAGAGAGTTATCACCTGACTCTGCAGTTCCTCTCAGCTCTATGCAGCTCACTCTCACCGCTCTCATCAGCAAGCAGCTGCTTTCATTTAAAAACCTGCTTTATGCTACCTGCCCGGCACCAAAGTTAACACACAAAGTTAGCAACTGCCTGGTGAACATGGTGGAGCTTTTGGCAGCTAAATAGTCAAATGTTTCTCCAGAAAGGGAGAGAATATTTGACATACATTTGCTAGATGGATACAAACAGAATTTCAAAAACAATATTCAGCCCTGTTGACAGGTTTATCTGATCATTTTCACCATCAACTACCGGTGTCCTGTCTCCACCCTCTTAATCTCTACTGAAAACTTCTACTTGTCAACTGCTTATGTGTCCAAGATATGCAGTGTTTTTCTATCAGACACTTTAACCAAAGCTAAAAATCATTACTGTCTCCCAGCTTGCCAGTGTTTCACCTCTCAGAATTACAGAAAGGGAAGCAGTCTGACAAAATTACCAGAGACTTACCAACCACAGCCAAACTACCAGCAACCCTGTGTAAATGTAAACCTCCACCTTTAGATTTAACTACTAAGACTCACAGTATGTCTTAATTGTTTCTACTGACGGACTCAAGGGGGGCTTGTATCATTCTTAGTCTTAAACGGAGCTGATAGTCCCCCTCCCTTAAGGCATTCATCTTTATTGAGACATTAAGAATAATAAGATCCAGAGTAATGGAGACACAGGAGAGAGGGTTTGGTCAGGATTTGAACATCAGGACAGAGAATTTGCTTTCAAGCTGAGCCAAGCTGCTAATTAGCAACACTTATGTTTTGACATTAACAATAAATCACACCAGACAGTTTGTTGTGTTACTCTGTGTAGTGGCAACTCTGTGACAACCAGATTTCTCTTCTCTTCTCTTCTCTTCTCTTCTCTTCTCTTCTCTTCTCTTCTCTTCTCTTCTCTTCTCTTCATCACGAAAGCCACAGTAGAAAGACTGTTGGAGCTGTTAAGTCTATTTAGACAGGTATGGCCATAATGTGATTTCACCAACTGCATCCTGGGAATAAAGTTAAATAAACAAAAAAAAATCTCACATAAGAAAATGTTGCTGAAAAAACAGGATTTTCAGACATAAAAAAACATCAACTGACAGATTGTTTATTTTAGAAGCACATGGAAAAGGCATCGCCTCAAGCTCCATGAAGGTCTTTTAGCTTTACATCACATAACAGAATCCTAATTAACATCTTGGTTGTGTTTGTTCGTCAGACAACTGGAGTGGAGCTGCTGATGAAATGTGTCAACATCCCAGAGACCAATGACAGCGTGGTGAGTCCAGCCATTCTCCGTCCTCCATCCTGTCTCCACCTCACTGCTTATAACGTTACCAGCAGCCATGCTGAGTGCAGGCTGAATTATGTTGAATGTCGCTTGCCTACAGATACTTTGTAAGGCAACCAACCATTTTAAGCTTCTTTATTGTTCTAAAATTCACTATATCACGGAACGTGGGTGGTGAGTGTTGGAGTCCATCACTCAGTGTGGAAGACGTTTTCCCAGACATATAATATTGTTAGTTTCTCATCTGTATTCGGTAAGCAATAGGGCAGCATTGTAGGAAGAACATTAATGGCCTTGCCAAAGAAAATAGGAAGTTTAAAGGCATGTAATTTGACTAAATCTCCATGTATAACACCTCTTCTTTTCCCTTCTTCCCTCTGCTTTCCCCTCCAGGAGCTCTACATAATAGACTCTGCAGGGAAGGAGACATTAGTGGAAGCCTGCGAGAAAATGGTGAGAGTTTCTCCATTTGCATGAAACTAGTAACAACCCACCATCCAGGGCTCCACATCCCCTCATATATAAAAGTACAAACACAGGAGAGCTACTGTAGTATTATTTATTTTGTCACAGAAGTGGAAAGAAGTGAGTTGATGTGATTTTAACTTTTTCTCATTATGAAACCCACACAACCCTTCCCACCTCATCACCACCCGTCATCCCCCTCTTCCACAGTGGGGTGAGCTGTCGCTGCTGTGCCTGGTTTTTGACCTGACCAGTGAGCAATCTTTTGCCAACTGCAGCGGCTGGATGGAGAGAGTCCGTGCCCACTGCCAAGGTCTCCAGGTTCCAGGTGACACACCCTAAAGGTCAAAGCATTTGTGGAGCATTGGCACGCTGTCAGAAATTATTCAATTATGAAGTCACTCTGAATCATTTTCATGTCTTTTGAAAAAAAGTTATATAATATCTTGGACTACAGCCTGAATGATACTGGATTTTGAGGCTGATACAGATAACAATATTTAAGACAGACAATCAGACGGCAGAATTATCCAAATTTGTTTTTTAAATATTAACAAATAATTATTTTTATAAAGATTCTTTAATGTTTTAGTGGAACATTAAGTGGGACATTTTACTGTTGAAAATATAGTAATATAGTAATATTAATAAATATTAAATTAATAATATAGTAACATGGTATAAATGGAGACACTATTTCAAATGATCTCAAACATATTTTTAGAATTTTTAAACCAATCTATGGCTGATAATGACAACATTGGTGGAACAGAAACTTAACATAAACTATATATGGACTATTGTGCATTTTTAACCACTGGAGGCCATCCAGGTAATGGCCATAAGTGATGCATAGGTTGTCCAATTTTAACCTTCTTGGTGTATTATCAAGTGCAATAGCAATGTTTATATTGTGGCCATGTGCTGTAAATATCTTGCTTTATACTTACATAATAGTGCAGATATTTTTCAAGTAGATGTTCACTTTTGCTTGAGTGACTTTAGCTTGTTTTTAAGTGAACAAGTGCATTTGTGTGTGTTTCAGGTGTGCTGGTGGGCAACAAGTCAGACCTGTCTGCCAGAAGGGAGGTACAGGCATCCGTGGCCCAGGAATGGGCCCAGAGCCAGGGGTTGGAGTACCACGAGACATCAGCCGTGAGTGTAGTTCAGTGTACAACACACTATATTGCGCCCTTACTTGGCTCGGTGGGGAGATAGTGGACATTCACTAAAATACCATGACACCTGTTTTTGTGTATGAGAACAAAACAGTGACATTTGACAGCATTAATCACTGTGTGTCCGCAGAGGGAGATGGAGAACTGCGACGCGCCGCTCCTCAGTTTAGCCCGGGCCTTCCACTCTCTGTATCAAGAACGCCGGGAGACCATCCAGAACCTAAGTCCAGGCTAGACCCATTCCCGCTCGCACTCACACACACACACACACACACACACACACACACACACACACACACACACACACCTTGACTTTTCACCAGTGGGATAGTAGGCACAGGATATCTGTTCAGAGACTTTAATAAGCTTTATGGATAATACATGTGAGGATGTGAGGCAATTCAAAGAAACCCTGTGTTCTTTTGTACCAGCCTTGTTCAGAATATTTTTATACGCCATTGAATAAAGTAGTTTTTCTTTGACAGTCGGCGGGTTGGTCGTGTTTTCTCTTATCTGCTCGTCCCCTCTCAGTGCACAGATAGTGGGGTTTACTTTCACAGTCATGGTCAGGTCAAAACCACGATGAGACTCCAGCTCAATGTGGAGGGAAGTGTGTCCCTCTTCTCCTCTCCTCTGCATAGATATCTGCCACTGATTTTAGGTGGAACGAAGGTTTAAAATTACAGTTATTTATTATCTCCTCCCCTCCCCTTTTTAATGTTTTCTCTTTATCTCAATGTCACTTTGATCTTGGCCTCATCTTCCTTTTGTGCTTCTTTCCTCATCTCTTCTCTCTGTCTCACTTTCTCTGTCTCTCTGCCTTTATCAGTTCCTCTCTGGTTTGTTTCTTTTTTAAAACTCGTCCTTCTCACTTTCTGTCTCGTCCCTCTCTTTCTCTCTCTCTCTCTCTCCTGTTGTGTTCACTCCCCAGCTGCAGCCCGCTCACATCATTTCAGTCGTGTCCCTGGTTCGGCGCTAACAACCAGTAATCACCATTTTAATCAGCGGTCTCCCATTCAAACCAGGTCAAAGCCACGTCCTTGTTCTCTCCCTGCCTCTCAGACCAGCTGCCACCATTCAAATGAGGGCGCGCTAGTTCAAGTCAGACACAATGGTTTTTATCTCATTAAGCACCATATTGAAAGTGACTGTGCTTGTAATGATGATGAGACACTCTCTGTTCTGTTGAGGATGCAGTCACTGAATATGATTTTTGATCATTCTTTCTTTCCAGTTTTCTGTATCAGTGTGTTGAGAACATATGAAGTTATTAGATAACACACAAAGGAACTTATTGGGCAACTTCTTTCCTGTGGAATGAAAACTGATTTGTAATGAGGATCTTTACAAAATCTGTATTTAACAACTTGTAATTGTTATTGCAGCACAGTGTTTTTCTACTCCTTGAGTGGGTGATCATAATTATAGCAATTAGGATCTTGTTCTCGTTCTTTCTGTCCTTATTGTTGTTTTGTTAGTAATGTGTGTGACGGTGTCTGCATGTTGTTTTCTGGTGTGTCAGGTTGTTGTCTTTCTTTTTTTTCCCAGGCATATGGAAACAAAATCCAAATAATAGCAGTATTGTCTGTCACATTACAGCGCTTTGCGTACCAGTATGTAGATTTTACATCTGTTCCCTTTATTTGTGCCCAACAATGTGCATATGGATATGTGTAATGTGTGTGCCATTACCAACCACAGTGGTTTCCTTCAGTGCTGAATTAAAGCTGAGCATGTAATGTAAATAAGGACACATGCACACAAGAAAAGGTGTAACACAAGCTCTTGATTATCCCTGGAAAATTACTCTGAGCTCACTTCAGCTGTATCCCACAGTCCGTCTTCTGTTCATTTGAAATGGAGCATCAAGCCTTGGGAATATCACTTAATAACATCACAGGATAGAGTGTGGGCTGTTGCTTATTGCTTTGGGAGAGACTTCTTCATTTCCACAGATATTGAAACGGGTGGTCTGATATCACAAGAAACATCAGACCCAGTCTATTTTGGTGGCTCTCTTATTATTACTCAGTCATCGGTACCATCTTAAAGCAGTCAATCCCTTTCAGTAATTAGTATTCAAAACATGTGCAGACGCACAGCACAGCAGGAACAACTGCTGTTCACCTTTTAGCCGCAAGAGAGGGCACAAGTGGTCACTGCAAAGCTGAGCTCTGCAGCAGGTGATAGAAGTTCAATTTATGATGTTTCTGACAGCGGGGTGACAGTTACAGTTTGTCTTCATAGTTTGGTTAAATTCAAACTATGAATTTAAAAAGTAGAACTAAACACTACCTTATAATGTGTAGTAATTAATGCAGGGTCTTTGCAGTATTCAGCATACCACTAAAGAATATTTTAAAACTGGTAATGCATTACATATTAATACTTACATGTGCCATTAGGTTTGTGCTTTTACTTAAAGCATAAGTGCTTGTATTTTATCATGCATGGCCCCAGTGGGCACAGCACTACTGTAGTGCTGCCATGCTCTTTCTCACCGCATTAACAATGTGCTTTTGTGCAGCCATACAGCAAGGAGATACTCTGTGCTTTTATCATTCTTTTTTAGTGCACTTATGAAAATGTTAAAGAAAATCTGTAAAGGAGTGCTGCATACAGCCCAGAAATGATGGTGCAATTTAAATGCATAGACCTCTGTGCATTAAAGCCGAAGGTCTAACAACTGATTGGCTACCACTCATTACTTTACATACAAAGTTTCAACTGCTTCATCTTACATCCCCATTTGTGCAGTACATTTTGTGAGTGGTGCACCCAAGTTTATGAGCTAGGCTAACATTTGCAAACACCTCCAGCCTATCTCTGAACAATAAATTATCTTTTCTGTGGTGCTGAGAGGTCAATTCAATAGTTTAGAAATTTATAGTTAATTATCATCAATTAAAGGTCCCATATTTTACACTTTTCTTTTTCTTTTTATTTGAAGTGTTGATCCATAAGGAGATATATTTGTTGTTTTAAGAACCAAAAACCATCTCGATGTAGTTTTACATCTCCTCTCTCAGGCTTCTCTCTGGAGCTCTAGCAACAACAGGTCGGTGAGCCAATCAGAGGAGAGTCTCTGAGCCTAAACACTCAGAGAAACCAAATCCTGCAAGGTCAGATGGTGGGTCAGTTTGGGCAGGTCGGGCAGGTCTTGGGGGCATGGCTGAGAGCGGTGACTGCTTTGTTGTGACATCACAAAGTTACAGAAGTCATGATGACTCATTTTAAGGCTCAGTCTCTGAATACAGGCTGTGTGCATTTCTCTGTGGACTGAGCGCTTTGATACTTTCACAGTATTAATATAGAACCTAGACCTGATCTATAATCAAAGAAGACATAGAAATCTACCTTTATACAATATGGGACCTTTAAAACTGGTTGAATTTATTTGATTGAAAGCAGAGCCTGAGCTGCCTTAATGAAAATCTTCTCAAGTACCAAAAGTTGAGTACTAATTAGTAAGTTTGGATAAAACATTATTTATGTATTTACACTTAGATTACTTAGAAATGCCATGCTCAAATTTTACTAATTATGCTCGCTGTGTTCTTGTATTTCATATAGAAATGCATAAAGTATGTTTGGTGATCAGCCGGTGACTCCATTATAAAATTGACTGTGATTGGCCCCAGTGTGCGTCTCTACACATCATATCTATGCAAGGTCTAAGTCTGCCTTGGGACATCAGGGCTTTATTTCAGATATATTTCACTGCAGTGCTCCTCACCCAAACAAACACTAACACACAGTTTTGTATTCATGACACAGCCTGAGCACAGGGCGAAGAGTTGCAGCTCATATCTTACACCTACACTTGCTCTTTTTCTGATTCTCGCACTCTGTTTCTGCAGATCAGCTCTCCGTCTGTCTGGTGACTTTCTCTCGTATTTCCTCAATCTGACACTCCAAATTATATATAACTCATATTAATGTGCTCATTTGGCTGAATTTAAAGTGAACTGACATCAACCTTGGTCTCTCTCTCTTGCTCTGTGTGTGTGTGAGTGTGTGTGTGTGTGTGTGTGTGTGTTTGTGTGTGTGTGTGTAGGTGTGTGTGTCTAAGCATGGCTTGTTCCATAGCCCCTAACTGTCCGTGACCTAAAAAGCTTGCTAATTGCAGGTGAGCGAGGACACAGCAGCTGTTCCCCCAAACCTGCTACCCTCCTGTCTGAACTGCAGCGTGACAAAAAAATCAGCCCTAATGCCTCCAAGCTCACCTGCAAAACAGCAGAAATATTTCATTACATTGTTTTCTGCCGTCTCAGAAACGTGACGCCCTGTCTCGCAAAAAATGTCCGATAGCAGCTCAAAATATTCACATTTGATTCACATTTTAAAGGACACTAGATCCCTCATAGGTGCTATATTTAAAAATCTTGAAAGAAAGCAAGCCAACAGACATACAGTGAAACCATGGCCTGTAGAGACCAGCAATGGCTACATGTTTTCTTGGTTTATGGTACAAATATTAACATCTCAAAAGTCATTTGCAAAAGATATATTATAAATTTCAACAAATAGCATGCTCAGTTCCTTAGATAAAGAAAACCCTTTTATTTTTTTTTTACTTTTGCTTGATACCCTTTAAAAGAATAGTTCAACATTTTGGTAAGTGTGCTCATTTTCTTTTAGGTGAACAGATATCTTGGCAGCCAGGTATCTTAGCTTAACATAAAGACAGCTAATGAAATCTGCCTTCCAGCACCTCTAAAGCTCATTAATTAACATCTCATATCTGATTTGTTTAATCCATACAAAAACCAAAGTGCAACAACAACAGTTTGTGATTTTATGGGGGGGTTGTGTGCAAGACTATTTCTTGGCCGGGTGCGGTAACCTCCTGCAGATGCACCGCAGGTTGTGTAAAGACTCCTCCCATCCAAAACAAAAGCAACAGTTCTCATTCTGTCTTTAAGTCATTGATCAACAACTGGATTTTTGAATCAGTGCAATAGCATGTGATCTGATTGGCCAGGACCAGTGTTACATGTTGGAGGAATTGCGTGTGTGAGGATTAGGTCACAATGCATTGTTTAAATGTAAATTTAACTAGTCACTATATGGTATAGATTTTATTTATCAAATCATAAATTGGTCCCATATACACTGGTTTAGAGTCATACTGATGTTAGTCTTGTGTTGCAATTGAGAAAGTCAACTAACTTTACCCTCCACTGCATTTATGGTGCTAAAATAGACTGGTGTGGAAGATTGATGCACGCTGGTGAGGTCATCGTATTCAAATACTAATAGGAGAAAATTTTCATGTACCTCCACACCAGAGGGGGGCAGTGTGATGCTGCTCGAGTCAGGGCTGAACAACGGCTCCCTCCACTCCTTTTTCTCTCTCCTCCCTCCCTCCTCTTCCCTCCCTCGCTCGCCTCTCTTCAGTAATCACAGCAGTACTGCAGAGAGACATGCCAGCCACTTTGATCATCACACCAGGGGAGGAGAGAGAGAGAGAGAGAAAGAGAG